ACATAAAGTTAAATGTTTTGATGTTAGTAAGCTATCACGTTTTACATCTATTCTTCAGTGTCATAACTCTGTGTCATTATGCTCTTCCCTCAAGCTAAAGCAAGTTAAAGATGAGAAAAAGAAAATAATTGAGAACTACACTTCAGAAAGGACAATGAGGAAGAAGTATTACAACATGGTGGAAGACATGAAAGGTACATAATAACATGAAATGAGGCCTTATCAGTTAAACCCTCTTTTTCTTTTTGCTGTTAGTAAGGTTTAGGTTTTTTTTTTTAGGTAAAATCAGAGTGTTTTGTCGGATTCGGCCAGTGAACCGAGCCGAGGTTGCGCAGGGTGGAGCCATTGTTGTGGAGAAGATAGATGAGTACTCGGTCACTGTGGAGACCCCTCGTGGGCAGCGGGAGTTTCAGTTTGACAAGGTGTTCAGTGCTGAAGCCTCCCAGGATGACCTGTTCCTCGACACCAACAGGTGAGAGGGGAGAATATACAAATGTACCACAGCACACACCACACAGTATAATGAGCCCCAAGTGTGTATCATTTCATCCGCCATAAATGTACAAAGTAGATTCTGATATTTTATAGTCAAATTTGTGCCAATTCAGCTTGAAGTAAAGGTACAGTTACTTCAGTCACATACATTAAGACAGTGGTTCCCAACCTTTTTCCTTAAGGGACCCCTTTTGTATCACTGACTCACAACCCCTGACTAAATGACATTTCATATTATATTAAATGCATTACATAACATATAAACTGAACAATGAAACAGTGAACACAAGAACTGCAGCAGTTGTATTGATCAGGAACCTTTTATACAATTCTCTGTCTGTATTATGTTTTTTTGAATCATTTTTAACAATCATACAGATTTAATAGGTTTCTTTTTTGACAAATACTTCTCCCTGATGCTTGTTAGCTGTTTGAACTGTGTACTTTTTTAATGCAGAACGATGAGATAAAGGTCTGCTGTGTATATTTTTCCCTAAATGCCTTCAAATCAGGAAGGCCTCGCAACTGCCGGTGAAGCTTTGGCGACCCCTAGTGGGCTGTGCTGGAGCATGCACCCCATGTATAAAGGCTGAGTCCTTGCTGTCATCTCTCCCTTTGTCTCTCTTCAGCTGCTACCATCTAATAAAGGCAATAAAAACCCCCAAAAATAATCCTACAAAAAACAACTAGTCAATAATTAAGGTTTTAGACATCCCTTTAAATTATATCTCCCTCACTGAGCCCCG